CATGAGTTCTTACGGCAGTCTTTGCTCCTTCATACATATCCTGTATAGCTTGGATATATGCTACTCGTACTCCTTTCTTCTCTAAAATCCTCCAAAGAATGTCTCTTGGGACCCTATCATACGCTTTTTCCAAATCTATAAAGACCATGTGTAAATCCTTTTTCCCATCTCTATATCTTTCCATCAATCTTCGTAAGAGATAGATTGCCTCCATGGTTGAGCGCCCTGGCATGAACCCGAATTGGTTGTCCGAAACCCGTGTCTCTTGCCTCAATCTATGCTCAATGACTCTCCCAGAGCTTCATTGTATGACTCATTAGCTTAATACCCCTATAGTTCATGCAATTTTGTACATCGCCCTTATTCTTGTAGATAGGCACCAAAGTGCTCGTTCGCCACTCATTTGGCATCTTCTTCGTTTTCAAAATCCTATTGAAAAGGTCAGTGAGCCATGTTATACCTGTCTCTCCCAAAACTTTCCACACTTCGATTGGTATATCGTCTGGGCCTACTGCTTTTCTATGCTTCATCTTCTTCAAAGCTACAACAACTTCTTCCTTCCGGATTCTACGATAAAAAGAGTAGTTTCTACACTCTTCTGAGTTACTCAACTCCCCTAAAGGAGCACTTCTTTCATGTCCTTCATTGAAAAGATTATGAAAATAACCTTTCCATCTGTCTTTAACCGCATTCTCTGTAGCAAGAACCTTTCCATCCTCATCCTTGATGCACCTCACTTGGTTTAGGTCCCTTGTCTTCTTTTCCCTTGCTCTAGCTAGTTTATAGATATCCAACTCTCCTTCTTTGGTATCTAGTCGCTTATACATATCGTCATTAGCCGCTAACTTAGCTTCTCTCACAGCTTTCTTCGCCTCTTGCTTCACTTTTCTATACCTTTCACCATTTTCATCGGTCCTATCCTTGTATAAGGCTTTCCAACATTCCTTCTTAGCCTTCACCTTTGTTTGTACCTCCTCATTCCACCACCAAGATTCCTTTTGGTGTGGGGCAAAGCCCTTGGACTCTCCTAATACCTCTTTTGCTACTTTTCGGATACAACTAGCCATGGAATCCCACATTTGGTTAGCTTCCCCCTCTCTATCCCACACACACTGGGTGATTACTTTGTTTTTGAAAATGGCTTGTTTTTCTTCTTTTAGATTCCACCATCTAGTCCTTGGGCATTTCCAAGTCTTGTTCTTTTTTCTCACTCTTTTGATATGTACATCCATCACCAACAAGCGATGTTGATTAGCCACGCTCTCTCCTGGTATAACTTTGCAATCGTTACAAGTTATACGATCCCCTTTCCTCATTAGGAGAAAATCTAACTCACAAATTGACTCTCACCAAATTACCATAAAAAAGAGCCACACACAAATACACTAACCCTAAGGTCTTATTTATAGTGCATAGGACTTAGGTTACAATAAGAATCCTAATAGGAAATAAATCCAAATCCTAATCAAATAGGTAATTAACAAAATCTCTCCACCAAGGAAACTAACTAAGAAGTCAAAATCCAAACCCAAATAGGACACCAAAACCAAATAGGTAACACAAACCTAATTTATTGCATCATCCTAATTTTGAGCCAAAAACCCAACACTGCCATGGGTACATTTGTTTAATCTCTTTGGGTTTCTCACTTTAGTTCTCTTCACCAGTCATCATATAAGGAAACCATACCTTTTAGGTTCCATTGCCTAGATGGCCCAAAAATGTGATTTCCAGGTGTAATGTTGAACATACTATTAACTGGTTTACTTTACTCAATTTCTCTCTGTTTTTTTCATTTCTGTCTGAAGTTTCTCTTTGTTGCACTGAAGTAAAATTTTAGTAATATGTTCTAATCTGATGCTATGGATTTTCTTTAATTGCAGGTTCGACAGAAAGCTGAAGAACACATATGATCACCTACTTTTTAGCAGGTCCTGCTCATACTTAGTTGTGTAGTTTAGCATAGATTTTTCTATAACTCTTACTTTCAGTCTTTCAGGGTGTATCTCATGGTTCTTTGATGTTTGTTGCTTTCAGCTGTACCTTCTGACTAGCCTTGCCATATTCAATCACTGATAGTGTATAATATATAATTGTGTGTGTGCATATGGGTTGTACAGATGCTCAGACATGCCACCCAGGCCTAAGCATTAGAAAAAGTTTGTTCTCTTTAGTTGGTGATAGAATTTATCATCTTGGAGTCGACGATGGAGGTATATTGTCAATAACAAAGTTGGTATTGTTTAGATAATGTGTGTTGCTTTGGTCCCCAAATCTAAGGGTTGCACAAAAATGCTAAGACATGCCATTCAGGCTTAAACATTTAAAGTTAGAAAAAGTTTGTCCTCCTTAGTTGAAAAGTTTGTTGTCCTTAGTTGGTGAGAGAATTTATATTCATTCAGTCCACAATGGATGTAGATAGTCAGAACAAACTTCGGATTGTTAATATAATATTTTCAGTAAAAAGAACTGCAAAAATTACAGTCCGTTCGGTGTATGAGGTATCAAAACTTGTGTGACGGTTTCTTTTGCTTGGCTATGACTTCTGAAAATTGTTTTTAACTATCCCAGTAGGGTTTCTGACACGTCTTTTTTCTCCCCAATGCAGAAGTCCTCTTTTAAGTGTGTATGCTGACATGTCCGTAACATGTAAGGTAATATCTGTTATTTATTACTTATTAGTAAGCAATAGTAGATATTTGTTGGTTTATCTAACTTCTAATTACCATTTTTTTTAATAATGTAAGTTCAGAAAAAAACTATACAATTCTTGATGTCAACATATTAACGAATACTGTAAATCATGACAGGAATATTACAATCCAAACCAATCTATGCTGGAGTTGGTTTTTGCACCGGCAGAAGAATGGATTTCATGTAGTGATTCTGAAATTATTGATGCTACACTCAAAGAACTTGCAAAACTCTTTCCTGACGAAATAGCTGCAGATCAGAGCAAAGCAAAGATTTTGAAGTACCATGTTGTGAAAACACCAAGGTCTCTCTCTAAAGCCAAAAGTTTCAAATATTATCTGAAAAATCACGTTGCAATACGCAATGGAAAATAAATGGCAGGGTTTTTTTTTCCGTACACATGAATTTGTTTGATTGAAATATTAACATATCGTCTAATATCCACCTATCTAAATTGTCTATAATATGGGAATTTCGAGCAACTAATTTTCTATGCAAAATTTTAATAGAAAGTTGGAAACCACGTGACAGCAAATTCCTTGGAAGACTTGGATTTTGATTTACTTGTAATTTTTGTCTCGGTAATTTGGATTCAGTGGGACTACCCTTCGTAAGGGGTTCCATACAACCACTGCCTGACGTGCCTGTGGATGACTTGGTTATGGATATTAGTGTTTTAACTGAATTATGACTCGTTGATGTCTCAGGTCTGTTTACAAGACTGTACCAGGTTGTGAACCTTGCCGTCCCTTGCAAAGATCTCCCCTAGAGGGTTTCTATTTAGCTGGTGATTACACAAAACAAAAGTATTTAGCCTCAATGGAAGGAGCGGTTCTATCAGGGAAACTTTGTGCTCAGGCGATTGTACAGGTAATTTCCATCACGATTTTGGAATTTATGTGGTATGATCAACATCTTTTGTTCATCTATTCCGGAATCTACTTAAACTGATTTCTTTTGGCAGCTTCACTTTACAAAAGTCTTCCTACTTTTATTTTTAATTATTAAGTAATGGAAGTATTTGGTAGTGACTTGAGTTTTCTGTGTTTATAATTACCATAACATAATTCTTGTGAGGCTCAAAGAAAATCTCTTAAGCGGGCGAAATTCTGAGGAATGAGTTTAAACTGCTGTTTTCATGAATGTAAAGAGATGACAACGAGAGAGGCGATAGAGAAATAAAAGAGAATGCATAAAGCTAAAACCTAAAAAAAGAAAAAGAAAAAGAAGCTCTTTAGGTTTCTTTCTTTTAATTTCTGGAGTAAAATTCTCCCCTCCCCTTCACATTTATGTTCTCTCTCCTCACTTTTTTCTCCTTTTCCTTCCAATCCTTTTAGCATTGAGTTTTATATGCTTGGTGAATCGTTTATAATTTCTGTGTACCCTAAACCGTTGAACATTCATGTATTAAAATATGCAGGATTATGAATTGCTTGCTGCCCGGGGTAAAAAAACAACGTTGGCTGAGGCAGCCGCTCGATGACGAGAATCTGAATGCCCCCCACCTTAAGGCAATTATACGAAGATAAGCCTGTTCAGTCCTTTGGTACTGCATCTCTTCACAAATGACGTTATCTTTTGTTTACCGTGTGATATTATCGTGTAAATGTACAAAATATGATCCCTATGATTCATCAAGGAGATCTGTTAACAAAGAAATCAATTCCGGAAAGAAATTAAGTGGAGACGATGTTTAATTGTTGTCGAAATGTTACTCTACAGTTTGTTCTTGCTAAAGCAACACAAAGAGCTCTAAGAGTTGTGATGTGGTCAGAAACTAGCAAATTCCATCTGATCATTCATTGCATTGCATCTTAATTTTTCCTCTGTTTTTTCTATTACATTTTTGAGGGGATTTTGTAAATTCTTTGCCTAAATGAAGTAATGCATGAGTTTCGTTTGATCCATATCAATCTAACGGATTTTTTGGGGCAAACTACATTTAACCTCCTCAACTTTTCGTCTCATTTTAATATCATACGACGTTTTTCATTTTTTTTTCAATTTCATACATCAGATAGAAGACATAAAATTGATACAATTTCAAAATTTCAAGGTTAATGTAAAAAAGTTGAAACCTGGCTCAATTTGAGGGGATCCGAAAATATAAATCTTTATAGTTACTTAATACTGTGGTCTAGTGATATATATTTTTTCACTAGTAAGTGAAAGGTTTTAGGTTCAATTTTCGTCAAAGGTACAGTTGAACGCATTATTATAGCAAGCATGTTGTAAGGCTTAGGCTATACTATTGTTTGTTAAAAAAAATTCTTTATATAAGAAAAACTCAGAAGAAATGATGACCGTTGGATGCAACAAAGGGCTGAGATTAGAAACAGAACCCCGAAAAGTGTAGTGAACTCGGCTTCTTCTCCAGAATCTCCACTGCCGTTACAAAGCTTTCTCCTCCTCCTCCGCCTCCTCCTGCAGCCACAGTCCACCAACATAGCTTCTCTTCCTTCTCTAATTTGGTACTTCTGTTCTGCTCATACAATCAAACCCAAAGAATCGACGTTTTTGTTGGTTTCGTTTGGAGTCACGACTCTGGAGGATACAAGTGGAAGGAATGCAGCAACAGAAATTGATTTGGGGATGGGTTTTCATCGCCTCTGGCTCCCTTTTCTTTCTGGGTTTTCTCTACGCCGCCGTGATATCCAAGCTTCTTCCGCCTTCAGATAATCCTATCGTCTCCGCGATCCAAAGCGACCGGTAATTCCATCATTCTTTCTTTGTTTTCCCTGATTTTATATTTGTCTATATTTCTGGCAAGCATTAATTTTTCACCATATTATGATCTTGTTAGATATTTTAAATGAATGGTTTTAGATTTTCGGTAACAATGTGTATGATTTAGTTGTTACTTTTCAGCTGGTGGATTTTTTTGAATTATTGTCAAATTTTAGGGGAGTAAGAAGGGCGACCCTAAGCCAACAAGGCTCCCTGCTTTGCGAGGTTGGGGGAGCGTTTCTTGTAAGAAGCGTTAGCTGTTTTCATGACTTGAACCCGTGACATTTCGATCTTTCATTAAATTGATGTCAATTGGCGTGTTTGCATCATTCTCATTCCCGGCATATGCCGCGTTTTACTAACGCACAAGTAATGGAAAAGTAAGGGGATCCTACATCGAAATTAGCTATGGCATACCCATTTTCCCATACCAAGTAAACATGCCCTGAGCGAAGCTACATTTGGGACAGAATTATAGACTTGGCTTTCGGGTTTCATTTGAATTCCTAGAGATGTCCAGCAAATTTATGCTGATGAGGCAGTTTGCCCTCAGTAAACATGATACGAAGGAACATGGTTTTACTTTTTGTCGGAAATGAAGCTTTCTAGGATACTACAATCTGTGAGAAAAGCTTGGTTTTAATTGAATTCGGGAGGTGTGTAATTACCTAAGATGAAACACAGCAGTGAGGCAGATTAATCCAACCAATGTAGGCATCAGAGTAGGGGTTTTTAGGCGTCACTCATAATTGTGAAGACTGATGGTAGATCACACACCATAAACATGTTTTTTCCAACACTAATAAGGTGGAGGGGCTGAAGTTACAGTTATTTGTTGCCATCCATACAAAATTTGTAGGTACAAAAAGGTTATGAGCTGATTGTGCTCCACAACGCAAGCACATATCATAGAGCGCCTAAATAAAGATGCTGAATTATTCAATTCTTGAACCTTAAGCAATCCACAAAACCAGACACACAAGATGATAAATATGCTTGCAAGTTCTATCCGCAAAACCTAAAAAATCTCAACTGTTGGCTTTAATGGTAGGCAAAAAGTCCAAATTATCAGTCACTAAACATCTATATATATATATATATATATATATCTTTTGTATTGGTTACCCCACTTAGTGGGAAAAGGCTTTGTTGTTGTATATCTTTTGTATTGGCTTGTTTAATTCTGCATTACAGGAGATATGGCTATTGTGTGTTCATGTGTCCAAATAGCATCACTCTTTATAGATAAGAAAGCGAAAGGTACTGAGTGGTTATCTAAAATCCATTGATGGACCAAAATAATGTTGGATTGACAGATTCCAACTTCTCTTAAGTATGATTAAGTGAACTAGTGTCTAGACGTATCAAGTTGTTATGAAAAAATCAAGATTAGCACGAACTTCAAATATAGAAAACTAGTGCCTAGAGATATCAAGTTGTTTTGGAAAAACCAAGATTAGCACGACCTTCAAATATAGAAACTTATTTGACTAGATTTTTGTCATTGGGAGTAGTAGTATACTGAAAGTTCCTGTTTTTCATCTTTTCTCCAACTTATTTTTTTATTTCTAACAGGTATTATTGCTTCTTGGTGCCCTTGACTCTGCCGGTCCTTGTGGTAGCTGTATATTTTCACTGGCTCAGCATGAAACTGTTCAAGCATGCATGATTTTTTCTCCATCCCATCGTCACCATCAGTTATGTTGGAAAGCCATGGAATTTTGTTGCTAACTTTTATGACTTGAGATTTAGCCAAGGGAGGATACTTTCTTCATTTAAGCCTCCTCGATTAAGATAAAGCACTTTCCCCGCCACTCAAACCCTGTGCAGACCGGGAAGGCTGTAACCTCTACAACCGTTGCAAGGGTACGTATCTCTTTACCCTGTTTTGGACACACACACTATTTGTCAAACCCTTAATTGTAATATCCGGAAAGTTCTATGTGCCGAACTTTATGTTAAATTTTCATTTGAATAGCTAGATATTGCACTCAATTTATGTTCGTTGAGGCAGTTTTCCTGCAAATGTGGGTATGTGCCGAACATATGATACGATATTGAAGGCTACCGTACTTTTTGCCGGAAATTACACATTTTTAGCATGCAATCTGGGTTCTGATTGTATTTACTAGGTGGGTACTTACAAATGTAGGTACATGTATTACCACAAGCTGATGAAACACCACAGTAAAATAAAGGAGGGAGGCCAAATTTTGTGCCATTTTAATTTGTCTTTAGGGTGAATATTGTCATAGTGAACGCAAATAAATTATTTATTCATAGGGCTGGGTTGTCAAATTTATTAGACGGATGGGAGGAGGGAATTCTTCATGAGCTGCCCGAATCAACTATAGAACTAAACATTTTTGTATTATATCCGCCTCTTGGTGATTTTGGATGAGAAGCGTATCGAGCGACAGAAACCGACAGTAATTTAAGTAGGACCTTGATTCTTGCTCAGACCTCCATTTTTACCTGACCATTTTCCTTATAATCTTGGCATCCAAACTCTGTTTACTTAATTTTTGACAACTTCAAAGACGATAGTCAAACGATGGAGTTTTAAGTAGCATTGCTTCACTGCTTCCCTCCAAATGAAAAACTATAATTTATGCACTTTTCGTTCTCTCATTCTGCACTTCTCTCTTTGTTTTTTTCTCTTGATTTTTCGTTTATTTAGAACTCGTTTATAAATGCCTTTAAAATGACTAAAAACACTTTTGATGAAAATGTTTTTGAAACTGATCTTTAAAGTTTATTCTTATTCTTACAAATCAAATAGCATTTCTTATTGATTTGTCCCGTCCTATTCTGATTTTGAACTATTCGTCGCTACGTTGCTCCTAACGACTAGCAAAATTGAAATAGAGAAATTCTTCGATCATCTCAATTCAAAAACCACACATTTCTCTTAATCATCGTAGTGTAGTTCCGCATATCCCCTCAAAAGAAGATATTTTCATATTGAATAACCCTCGAAACCATAATGTGTTGATGTAGCATAGTAAAAACGCAATTGAATATTAAAAATGCACTTCAAGTCTTGAAGTTCAAGAGCTTTTTGGAATCCAAAAACAACTTCACTGAAAACGCTTTCAGTTATATTAAAAAAATAAACTTTAACGAAAAGCTCTTGGTACTGTTCACTTTAACGAAAAATTACATTTTTACACTAAAAAGTTAATCTTGATACTATTCATTTTATCTTTTATTTTATCTTTATCGTTAAAACTCAAAGTTTTTAAAACATTTTCATTAATTTTCCATAAAAAAAAAAAAAGAACTTTCTAAACCCCAAAAAAACTTTCTGAGCCCGCCTTTTATTCAATGTAACGTCCAACAAAAATGGATAGAGATTGTATGTGGGCTAGAATATGACACTTGGAACGTTCGAGCAGAGTTCCCCAAAAGCAATTTCCCCACCAAAAATGAAACGTTATCCAATCCACCCTTGTTTCTAAGAAAATCTATCCAAATTCCCAAAACCCAGAATCCAGATTCTGCAGAAGAAAATGCCACTGCAAACAAGTGCACTGACTCTGGGTTCAGCCTCCTCTAAGCTCTTTACTACCGGCGATGCCATTGCCTTCTGCAACAATGGCAGTAAGTCTCGTCTGTTGAACCACATCAACTTCTCAAGGCATTCCCAAAAGTCTCACTGCAAGAGAAGATGTTCGGTTTACGCGTCGAGCAGAGTCTCCGACACCCAACATTCCGGACTGGTTCAGGACTCGGCTGCCTCTGCAGAGGCCCTCCAAGACGCTCGGGTGTGTTCAATTTTCCAATTTCTTGTTATATGTTTCGTTTGATTAGTAGTGGATGTTTTTGAATTTGTAACTTTGTATTGGGTACTTTCATTTTTCGATGTTTTCGGGTTTTGTGTTTTGTATGGCATGCGTATATGTGTTGAATGTGAATTCGAAGAACCCCATTTGCCTCTTGGAATGACAGAACCCAACCCCATGTTTTAAGGGCAATGTTTTTAAATGGGGGTGATCAGAGGTAGAGTTAAGAACCTTAATTTTTGAGTTCTAAGTCGAATGAATATAATGGCAATGGTTCGGAGAATGCAAATTATTATATTTCCTTTACCGGTGTGGATAGACGGGAATAAATGGAGACATTGCTGTGGTTTGTTCTGTTTATTCGTTATCCGCAAGAAGAATATAATTATTTGAAAATGGAGAAGCATTTCAAGTTGGTCTGATTTCACAAGTTTAATTCTCCATACTCTTGTATGAGCTAATACTTAATTTCTGCAATGAAGTAGAGATCTGCTGATTGGAAGGTAGCAAAGGCTTATAGTGACAGTGGATTGATCTATGAGGGCATGGTTGAAGGATATAATGGTGGAGGTTTGCTGATTAAGTTTCATTCCCTAGTGGGGTTTCTTCCATTTCCACAGTTGAGCCCATCACATTTTTGCAAAGGTACTGATTTAATAACTGTTGTTGCTCTTCTTGTTCTGTTCTTGTTTTCAAATGTTTTTTTTTTTAATTACTTAAGTATTTTTGATATCATAGTGTCGATAATAATTTCCATTGAGTCGCATGGTCTTGATTTGGATGGATTTGAGATGCCTTTCACTTTCCCTTACGAGATTATGACCTTATGTTGAGGCAAGGTTTGGCTAGGGTGGGAAATATCTCTCTATGTAGCCGTTCTATTTGTTAGCCTTTTGTTATCTACTTGTATACATTGTATGACATAGAAGTTAAACATTTGACATGATTTTTTTTTTAAAAGTTTCATTTAAAGATCCTCTGTTTTGTATGTTATTCAAATTCAAAGTCTTCCTATGAAGAAAACTTACAGGCATGCAATATGCCTTGGCAGTGCCTTCTTTACTTTGAATAACTACTATTAGGGGAACCAATCCTGCATATTTGTACTAGTATGCTGATATCCGATTATCCATACATCTATGTTAATTGGAATGGGTTTTTTTTACCAACTTTATGTTCTAGGAAGTGTACTTGTAATTTATATTCTATTATGTTTATGATTCCATTTCATGCAGAACGGGGAAAAGGCCTCCAAGAGATTGCAAAAGGTTTACCTGGTTCACTTATATCCATGAAGGTGATGATCTTAATTACATAAATATATTTTTCATTAATTTGTTAAATATTCTATTCACCCCAAACTGTTGATCTTTTTAGAAAAAACCATCTTATCAAAAGGGCATTTCACTAGGCATTAACTTGTTTTTATTTTTTTGCTGTTTTGTGTTGAATAGTGGGAAAAGGGTGAGGTTTCGGAAGAGAGGTGGGTTGGGGAAAATTCCGTATCCTTTTCTTTTCCTAGATTATACAGACTATCAGTGTCACAATTTTTGCATACCTAGGGGGTGTGTTAATCCCTCTCAGTTTCAAAGAAGTTGGGATGTTGGGTTTCAACTTTCATAGAAACTTGAATGGTTTGGAAGTTGGGGAGCTTATGCCCTTATTATCTCAGTCAGATGTGGGTTCATCAAGGATGGATAGGTGGAGGTGGATGCTGGGGCCATAAGGGGTCTTTCCTTTTAAATCTTATTCGAGTCGGTTGATGGAGGACCCTTCTATATCCTATTATATCTCCTCAATACAATTTGAAGGATGAAAGTACCTCCAAAGGTTTGGTTGTTTGATTGGATTATTGCTCATGGGAGGGTTAACAATTGTGATATGGTTCCTCAATTGTGAATTTGTGATACCAAGGAGCACCCTTGGTATATATGTTTAAAGTGGTTAGCTTAGTCACCCCCATGCTAACAGTGGAGAGAAGGAAAGGCGTGGGATCAGTAAATCTAAGGCTTTTGATATAGCAATTTTGGTGTCTTGACCTTTAATTGCTTGATTGAAGCTCTGCATGGAAGTTAGAGAGAGAGAGAGAACTGGGTGCATGAGAGTGGTGACTAGTTGAGGGTCATATCATTGTACTTTCCAACCAAAATGATGACTGAACCATTATTTCTTTGATATGTCAATCAAAAGTTCTTATAAAAAAAAAATCATGTCAGTTTGGTCAATCTGTTTCTGACCTTATTGGTCAGGCCGACGATCAGACTAATGAAAAATAATGGAAGGCTGAAAGGCTGACTACTTAAAGAACATAAGTAGCTTGAAAAAGTCCATAAAAGTCATCTAGAGTCTTAGAAGATGAAGATGAAATTAGTACTATATGAATTAAAACGAATGTAGTTTGGACTCGTACTTGTATCAGTACTCGTTTTCCATGGTTGGTGCAATGTTCGGCATTTGTCTTTTTTTAGATTTTACAGTTGTGTTTTTCCTTTTTGTGATACCAGATGATGATATGCAAAGATTTCATTTTTAAGTTTCACTCTCTTTACCTAGTCACAATTATTATACAGATTTGCTATTTTTCCTGGTTGGAATGTACAAAAGAGTTGTCTTTAATGTACAACTTATCTCAGTTGCTTGATATTTTAGGTGATCCAAGCAGACGAAGAGAACAAGAAACTAATTTTCTCAGAAAAGGAAGCTGTCTGGTCAAAGTTTTCTGAGCAAATTAGTGTTGGGGATGTTTTTGAAGCTAGGGTGGGTTCTATGGAGGATTATGGTGCATTTGTTCACCTGCGATTTCCTGATGGTATTTTTCTTATATGCTGTTCTACATTTTGATTCGATATGAAAAAAAAAAGAACGGAATTCCTAATTGGCATCTAAAACAATGAAACAGGTCTTTATCATCTGACTGGACTAGTACATGTCTCAGAGGTTTCATGGGATTTAGTTCAGGATATAAGAGACATTTTAACTGAGGGTGACGACGTAAGGGTCAAGATTATTAATATTGATAGGTGAGTTCTATTGTATGATTAAAATTTTAGGTGTTATGCACACGCACACACAATTACATGCAAAAATGCCCTTAAATAAAGCCATATTTCTCATCTGTTTGATCAGATAGACAGTTCACAGTTGAGAATTAAGGTGCATGTGATGATAAAATTAAAAAAAAAAAATTGTTTAGTTTCCACCTGACTTACCTATACAGATAAATTCAGATGAGTTTGCATGTGAAAATCTTATGCAGAGAAAAGTCAAGAATTACACTTTCCATTAAACAATTGGAGGAAGATCCGCTTCTAGAAACATTGGACAAAGTAATACCACAGGTTTGTAACATGCTAATATCTGATATATAAATTGTAGTCTCGTTTATAATTCTCAACTGATGAGTTTGACGATTCACAGGATGGCTCTGTAGATCCTGATTCTT